TGCAGTAATAATAACCCAAATTCCATTTAGTGTTCATTTGAGCAGTCAGGATAAAGTCATTTCTTATTATCTCCCCACTGTGCAAAAAACAGCTTGAAGGTAGGAAGTCAGCAAGCATTTTCACCAAAAAGTAATTATTGTAAGTGACATTTTTACTGCTGGCATGCCATAAGGCGAACTGTGCATTCAGAAGGACAAGTTGCTGAAACAAAATGACAGGGTACTCTGTGACATTCTGACAAGAACCCAAACATTATTTAACTGGCGGCTGGTCTGATGCACCACTTCTCATTACGGCCACAGTTTAGGCTCCGAGCCCGTGCCAAGCCAGGAAATTCCAAGTGACTACAAAGACAGACAAGTGTGGAAGACTGGAGAGAGGAGGCCGGGGGAGCAGCAGGGTCACGGCCTGGCGCATGTGAACTTGAATGAGGGAGGGAGGAACTCAGAGAGCAGAGGAAGAGAGTGCGGGGAGGCAGATGGAGATGGGCCCCGAGGGGGGACAGGCGCCCCGGTCGGAGACTGGCGCGGCTGTGCGAGGACGTGCAGAGGTTCTGGAATGCCTGGTGCTGGCATCCTTGGTCCAGTAGGGGCTCTGGTGGCCTGGAAGGACCCTGCGAAGCTTGAGGGCCTTTCCAGCTGACAGTGATGACAGCTTCAGGAGCCACTGCAGGGTGACCACCGGCCCGCAATGCTCCCTAGCCAAGTTCAGATGTGGGGATGGTGACGGGGACACCGAGACTGAGCCGACACGTGGGGACTCTCGTGGGTGCATATGGTCTCCAAAGAGACCCCCCAACCTGGGGGTCTGCGGCTGATGGGCCTCTTTAGGAATAATGAGCTTCTGGGCGTCAAAGGTGAAGAGCAGCCTAATTTGTCCTCCTGTATTTTAATGCCACACAGTGACGTGAGCCCCGCTCTCTGACATCCCCGAGCACCGAACCTTTCCCCAGCTGGTGGCGTTGATGACTCCCGACTCTGAGTCTCTGGGCAGATACGCATGGCCCTATCAGGACCACCCGCACTATTTCTCCAGCCACGTATCCCCATTTGACACAGCCAACGTAGACATGTGGACTCTTGCTTCTCACTATGAGTGGTCTTTTGACTGATTAGCGGGGACTTAAAGTCCGTGGGTACTTTGACAGCCATCACAGACACACAGGGGCTTCCATACCCCTCCTACCACAGCCCAGACATTTCCCAGCTAGAAAGGAACAAAAGCAACCTAACAATATACCAAGGCACATTAGAGCACCCAAAGTGGCCCCACCACAAACAGCCTTCTATGCGAGGGCCTGCACCTGATGCCAGCGATGGAGAAAGGGGAGGGGCCTCCCTGCCCCTGGCCCCACCCCCAGGGGCCCGGGGCGGGTCTGCCCTGTCCCGGGAAAGCCCACCCCCGAAGAGGTGGTGGCATCTGGCTTCACCGAAAATCTCAGCAAACCTATCAGATATCTTTTCGTTTCAATAGTAAAAATGAGATAGGAGGTGAACATTTTTCTTCAAGTCTGCCTAAGGAACTCTTACAGTGACTTAGAAGCCAAAGTAGTTTATTTATTAACAAAGAAAACTTGTTTAAAAAAACTTGTTTCTATTTAACTTATGTCATTTCTAGCTGATCTCCCCAAGCTTGACTTCCAAGCCACTTGAAAAGAGGGCCTGCCTTTTATTCAGTAAAGGAGCCCTGAAAGTGCCAAGCAGGGTACTTGGAGGTAGAGGCACCTGGGGAGCCAGGCAGACATCACTGAGCAAGTTGCTGTCCCAGAGACGCTGTGACACTGGAGCTCAGGCTGAGGGGGAGGGAACAAGAAAGAGAAGAGGGGGGGCGGGTCACACACTAAGAAGGTGGGACTCTAACCCAGGGAAGGGACTGAAGGAGGGGAGGGCCCCAGCCGGACATGTGATCAGGAGAGAGGGTTCTGGCTGTACTATAGATAAAGAGGTGATCTGAGATCTGGACCAGGGTCGGGCTGCGGGAAAAGAAAGAAGGAAACCCAGAGATGCTTAGGAAACGTGTGCGCGCGTGCTTGGGAGGAGTTGTAAGAGGGACAGGAATCCAGGTTCCCCCCGGTCAGGTGACCATGGAGACGGTGGCGCTTTCAAAAGGAACGCCAGAGGGAGAACGGTTCTGGGGAGAAAAGGCTGAGCTCAGTGTTGGCTGCGTTTCATCACAGGGGACGGGGATGGCGAACCCGTGAGTCTGGCGGGATGCTGACGATGGAGGTTGGCACACGAGGGAGGAGGCAGACGTGGGTTCTCGGCGGGTCACCTTCGCCTGGCACGCAGCACGGGACGCAGGGGATGTGAAGGCGACAGGCATCTGGGGGGCTCCTGCCATCAGTCACCATCCTGTGCCACCCGGCACTTCCCTGACTCTTGGTATGGCTTCCCCCACACTGGGAAAGTCGACCCTAGCAGTTCTGAGCTGCACCTGGGAAAGCTGCCCAGGTGATGTGCGCCTGAGCCGGGGAGCGCTCACCTGAGGGGTGGCGGGTGGGCACTGTGGGGGATTCGAGGTGTAAATTTGCTCCCCCTCAGGTTTTCATTATTTTTCTTGTGTATCTTTTATAAGCTCTTAAGGAAATACATCAAAAGTGAAGTCTGAGAATATTAAAAACAAAAAACCTTACATCACTATTCAGCTTTGGCAGTGGACTCTCTGTTGGGCGAGGCTGCAGAGCCGACCCCGGGACGCGTAGCCGGCTTTGCTTCAGGGGCGCAGTGCTTGCCCTGTTCCTAGTTTTTCTGCAGATCCACACCGACTTAGAAATAATGCTTTCGAATTACCTTCAATAACCTTATTACCGAACCAGCTGTGTGTATGAACACTTATCAATGCGTCCCTGTGCATTAAGAGAAAATGTATGTCATACAAACAGTCTAAATATATATTACTGAGATGGGAAAAAACAAACCCTCTAGTTAAATTGCTCTGGTGTAATCAAAGATTAATCAGTGTGTGTGTGTGTGTGTGTGTGTGCGTGCGTGCGTGCGCGCGCGCACTCGCGTGCCCGTGTGCATGTGCTTCTTTCTCCAGGGTTCCTTTCTGGCTTTGGGCAAACCCGTCCGTCCTTCCCCGGCAGCGCTACTGTCTGGTAGGCAGCTCGTACCGCCATTCTAATAGTGGAATTCATCTTCCCAGATTTCTAAGAGTTGAAGGAGCTCAGAGGTGGTTTTGACTATTGTTTTCTTTCCAAGCCTTCTAGGCCTGCGGCTCAGAAGCCTTCCTTTCCCCCAGACCCCTGGTGGACAACAGGCTTCGGGAGGTGCCCATCTGTGAGGAGGCTGGAGCATTTGCCCCAAGAGCAGCCCATCCCCTTAATAACGCTGCCAGGCAGCTGGCCGTGAGGGTGAGGATGTCTGGGCTGTGACGGAATGTTCCTTAGAGAATCCTCGGCTGATCACAGCCGGTGAACGTGCTAGTGCGGTGGGCTGCGTCCTGGCTTCCCACCAATACGCAGGTGAGTGAACTGATCTGGCCCTACATGGGCCCTGGGCCGTGCTGAGCAGAACCAAGCGACGTTTTCGTTGGATGCGACGGTATTAGAAAAGCTATTAAGGTACATTATTTTACACATCCTCCTAATCTCTCCATACTGCTTTACTTAATTTGTGATGAAATTGTTGAGAAAGGGTACTTAATGTACGACAGTCAGTAAAAGTAATTTATCATCTTCCCGCTTCAGTGCTCACGTTATCAGCGAACTCATTTTCTGCATTCATCATGCAATCAGCCTATTATTTGCATATTAATCAGGCAGTGGACCATGAAAGAACTGCATCCCAGCCAAATGCTGCACTATCTCAGGAGAAACACTCAGTAATTATCATACATCAGTGTTATGATGTGGTAATTGATTATAACATCTTTCTGCTGCCCCTGGGGAGCCCCTCTGCTAACCCAGCTCCAGGCACTCCGGACGGATTGCTCTTTTCCTCCCCAAATCAGAGTCACCACTGCTGTTCTCTCCAAATGCTATTTCTGAGGAGTATTGATCCTCCTCTTCCAGTTTCAAGAGGCATTTAAACCATGTGCAGGAAAACTGACCGTAACTCAGGGAACGGGGAGGTAGGCTGTGGGGCAGGCACATCTCTCTGGACCCAGCCTTTTGGCTTCAGAGGTGCTGCTCTGGCTGCTGAGAAAGTTTCCTTATCAAGTGAAATCAACTGAAAAGCTTAGTCCCTCCTTGTTGCAAAGTTGGTACAAAGGCAGTTTGGCTGCTTTATTTAGGTGCCAAATGACAGACTAATTTTGGCCCTCTTGTAAAGGACAAACCCAACATCTGCCAATTCAGACTCGGGCTATATTTAGGAATCCAGTTCCAAAGGGAAGAACAAAACACAAAATCAAGATGAAGCCGGTGAAGGAAGCTGCCTGGCTCGCTCCGTTCTCTCTGCGACCCGCTTCTCACTCCAGAGCGTGACTGTGGACTAAGGGCCAGTCTGCAGGGGGCTGGGCCGGGGGTCCTGGGCTGGCTGAGGGCCTCTGGCAGCTGACAGGTGGGCTGTCCCTTCGTAAGGGAAGGAACCCTGGGCCACTGTGTGTATTTTCCTTGGCTTCAGCCTGGAAGGGGTTTCAAGGCAGCGTGGCCCTGCGTCACAGGCCAGATGGGTTATCCACTCTCTGTTACAAAACTTCATAAACTTGGGTCTGACTCTCTGCCACTGATCTGTTGCTGGGTTCCCTTCCCTCTGCCCAGCTCTCAGGCTGAAACGGCAGGGATCCCTCCTAGGGTCACTGAGGTATCTGACTTTCTGTTAGTTGTTCATCTTGGATATGATTTTAAAACATATGTCCATTTATAGTTTTCACTCAGTTTTGTTCCTTGTTTTGAAACATGGCCTTGACTTCTCTGAGTGCAGTTCCAGGGACAAGCCCTTCACCCACCATGGGGGACCAAGTCCTCAGGGCTGAGTGACAGCTCGCCTGCACCCAGGCGTCCTGCAGACCCCTCCAGGGCAGCAAGACCTCTGGTCGCAGGACCTCGTGTGCTTCTCCACCTCCTCCGTGACTAGGGGCAAACTGCCTCTCCTCTCTGGGCATCTGTAAGACGGGGGAAATCACTTCCGCTTACTGATCAGGGATTAAAAGCACTGCGCTTGGCACATCCACGGTGCAAATACGTGAGTTTCTTCATTTTATTCTTTCCACCTTTTAAAATCACCTGAGGGTTTTTAAGCATTTAAGCTTCTTCATCCTTCCCTGGAACCAAAGCATTGAAAACTCAAGTCCTTGTTTGCTCCTATGACCTACTTTTGCTTCTTGTACTGCATGCCCAACGTACCGTAAGTTCTCTTCTCCAAAGAAAATCTACAGGAAAGAGAAACGTGTCCAGAGGCCCGTGGCCAGGGCCTGCCGGGGCCTCCTCCGCACGGGGAGTTGGGGCCTGCCAGCACGGAGGGCGGGTCCCGGCCAAGAGGCCGAGAGAAGCTGACGAGAAGCGGCTGCCACTCACCTGTGCCGACAGCACCCCTACATCCATCCAGACATCGTGGCCTGGATCCGAACTAGATTGCCCCAAATGAGTGAAGACCTACAGGCTTATTCTTGAAGCTCAAGATTTTGGGTCAACTTCATGGAATGGCAGATGGACGGGCAACTTTCAAAGATGGACAGTGTTTTGGGGAAGCCAGGAATCTGGAGAGCTGCGTGCAGGTCACCCTGCAGCTGACCCTTCGTGTCGCTGCCAATTGGTGATGCTCTCACGTGACAATCCACTCAAGGAGTGAATGCTGGACACCTCTGTTTTAGAGCCAGGGGTCTGACATTCCTTGTGTGCAAGTCATTGCTCTGTAGCTCTCCGGTGCACACGAAATGACATGTCATGCCAAAAAAAAGAAGAAATGACATGTCGTGCCAGAGGCTGCAAGGACAGCAAACCCTGAACAAACTCATTTAAAACTCCCTAGAGTCTAGGAGACAATACTTTATTTTTCCTATTTTAAAGAAGAAACTGAGACACAGAGAGGTCTAGTCACCTGCCCAAGGCCACACAGCTGTCCAGTGGCAGAGACAAGCCGAGCCCTGTGCTATCCGCTCTGAGTCCACCGCATCCTGCTGCTGCTCATGCGTGCTCAAGGCTGGTCACTGCAGGATCGCTTCTTAGGCTCTGCTGTTAAAGTCAATCTAAATATCTTGTGCTAGTGACTGGTTAACTAAAACAGGGTAGGTCCAGACAGAGGAATTCCCTACGGCAGTGAAAAGGGGAGGAGATTCTCTAGTCTATTGCCAGGTGAGAAAAGCAGGGCACAGCTTGAGCCCCGTGTGCTCCCTTCTGTGCAGACCAAGTATCTCGGGGCACAGACTCTCCGAAGAAAAGGAACAGGAACGCCTGGGGAGAGCGCCTAGGGGCGGGGGATGAGGGAGGGCGGGCGACTTATTTTTTAAAAAGGGTGTAAGCTCTTCGAAATCCTGCATTTTGTAACTATGATGCATTTTACTTATACAACCCCCTCCCCAAACCATAATTTAAAAAAAAGTCAAATAAATCTTTTACCCTGGGTTACTCTGATTCTCTCCTCTTTTTTTGGAGAGGCACAGTGACAAATCTCACGCATGAAACAGAGACCCTCGGGGGCTGCTTTGTGCCGGAGCAGCTTTTTCCAAGGATCATGATGACAGTATCTGCTGCTTTGAGACAAAATATCGAGTGGGCGTCTTGTTTAGTGGCTGCCGCCCCAGGGATGCCTGTGCGGGGCCTGCAGGTGCAGTGTGTTCTCGGGGAGGGCGGGCAGGGCAGGGCCTGGCTTATCCACCACCCCCACCTCCTGCAAATGCATCACAGGAGCAAAAGGGCCTCCGCGCTCCCTCTCCCTCCTGGGTTAATGTCACAGGGAGGTGGTTTCAGGATCACATGCCCAGTCTCCACAGGGAGTCCCACAAATGCTCGGCATGGCTAGGAAGGCTGCAAAAGCAGCGCAGGCCCGTAGGTGATCCAGGGAGGTGCCGCAGACAAGTCACCTGTCTAGGGCGCTTGTGAGACATGCGTCCTCCTTCTCTGCAGCTTGCAGGCCAGCGGGGGCCGCCCAGCTACCGCTTCACCCTCCTCTGAGACCACGCTTGGGTGTGCTGAGCCTCAGCCCGCATCTCAACGCTCTTGAAGTCCACCTCCTCTCAAGAAAGAGCCACCCACAGGGGCAAGGGGCGCTTTGGGGTGAGATGCAGCAGGTCAGGCATCCCGCGGCCCAATGCCGCCGTGGGAGCAGGTCAGTGAGGTCATCTCAGAGGAGCAAGGAGCCCCCTTCTGTCCTGCCGCCCACACTTTTCTCCTTATTATACAGGCCTTAAGGCAGTAATAACGAAAATATTCTCCATAAAGAAAAGACAAAATTCTTCCAGAACCCACTTTCCTTCTGTTACTTTAAAAGAAAAATAAAAGGCCCCTGAATTAGGGGCTTCTAATGTTTTCACTTTTTCTCAAAGGTTCCACATGTGCCACATCATCCCCCATCAACGAACCTTCGTACCCGCAGAGCCGTCCACCTGGAAGGTTCTCCTCCCTGACCCATTCGCCCTTCATGGCCCAGCCCCTCCTCGGGGCTCCCCCGATAACATCAAAATGCCCTCATGCAGGTTACAACCAAGAAAGAGAGAAGTGAGTGGGGCACTTGGTTCCTCTGGCTGCCAAGTTCATGGTCTCTGAATGGGTGCAGAGGGCTGAGCCCAGGACAAATGTGAGCAGTGGCCCCTTGAGCAGGGAGGGGCACTTCCTAGTTCACACGTGGCTTTCCAGAATTCGCTTTTGTTTTCGATCTGTAGTTTATGGCTATGTATAAATCAGTTACGTATATACAAATCTTTTCAGCTATTCAAAATAACTGAGGGTTAGAATAATTCTTCTTAGAGAGCACCAGGAGTTAACCTGCATTGATTTATTTCGATGAAAGAGAGGAGAAAAAAAGACAAATCAGCTCTAGTCCTGGGTATTGAATGAAGAGTTCTGCCTGCTTTAGACGGTGCCGTGGAATTTTCTGGGGGTACAAACAGCCCTTCCTTTTCCTATTAATGTGCTGTCCAAACGCCCCAGCCTGACTTAGTCATTAAAACTGAGGAACGGATGGCTCACACGAGGAAGCTGCATCAGAGCCCTACGGCTGAGGTCAGAGCACTGAAACCATGGACACGTTCTCCCGGTCATTTCATGGGTCCCAAGCAAGCGCCATTATGCATATTTAAAAAAAAAGGCTGGCCTGTCCCTAACTGGGCCCTGTGGCTGCGGGAATCTCCCGGCTGCGTAAGGCCACGTAGCGTAGACAGTCCTGTGGTCCTCATGTCAGGGAGGGGGCGCGCAGGGACGGCCCACGTGAGAGACGGGCTGCAGCTGCTGCTCCTCAGCGGGACACTGGTGCTCTGCTGAGTGAGCTCCATGGCGGGAGCTGCGGATTCTCTATGCGTGGAGGAGGCTCGGACCCCACCGTTCTTGAATGACATGCTGGGAAAAAGCTGGGTATTTTATAATTAATCTGAGGAGACTGGGCCATCCTGTCATTTGTACGGCTTGCGATCATCCATCTGAAGCAGGTGTGGATGTTTGTTAGCGACAGTAACGAAATGCCCCCACATTAGAAAGTCGCAAAGCCCAGTGCAGCAGGCAGGCGACCCCTCTCTCTCACTTCTCGGTAACATGATGACTAAGCCGCATCCAGGAAAACCTGCTCCTTGCCCTTTCTTTCTCCCTCTTTTAGAGTTGCCTCTTGTCTCCTTCTTTCCTTTGGGGCAAAAAGATTAATCACACCAAGGAACCATGAATATGAAATGAGCTCTAAGGAATGAAAAAGGAAAAAAAAATCCAATCCTAGATCATATCTAACTATGTACCTGTGTACCTAACTACACACACGCACACACACACACACACACACACATCATTACATCTCAAGGTTTTCTTCCTTTAAAAAAATGCCCTGCTAACTGATAAGTGGTGACGACAGGCCACACTCGGAGGAAAGCAGTCCTGCTTGGCTCCACCCCTCCCCTTCTGGGAGTGCTTCCTCCACTTCCCTGAGCATCGCTACGGCTAAGCGGTGCCAGGGCACCTGATGGAAGATAGCTGGGATGGGAGACGGACAAAAGGGAGATGCAGAGAGCCAATCCCAAAGGACTACCTGCAACTCTGTCTTCAAATAGGTTTGCCATTTAGGTCGAAGACAACCTGAGACAATGGGGACTTTGAAAGATTCAATCCAACACAAAGATGTTTGTAGAAAACTAGGCTACCAGGAAAGATAGGACAGGTAATGGTTCTGAAAAGCTATTCTTTAAAGACCATTTTTTCTCCTTATAGTTACTCATATGATTGGCACGGAACCCTCTATTCTCCTTACTCCTCATCAAGACCTCAACGGCCTTCAAAATAAGCATATGTCACTCGCTGAAAATGGCATCAACTTTCCTTAAGGTCCAAGGCCATCACCCCAATGCTCAAATCATCAAAGGAACATTCAGAAATGGTTACATCCACCAAGAGGGGAAGGTGACGATGCAACAGCAAGTCCAGTTTCTCGCTCCTTCATCATCAAACTGACTGGCAAGTCTGACATACAGATCAGTAAGGGAAACAGAGACGCCGAGGGCCAGAGCTGGGCAGAAAGAGGAAGATGGGTGAGGGAAACAGATTCCCGTGCCAGCAGCTTGCTGTTGAGATGAGCACCTCATCGCTGTGGTAACTAAGCACAAAGCCATTCATCAGACCCACACGACCTCTCCTATGAGACTGGGGCTGAGGACAGAAGGTGAGCCTTCCAAAGTCCTTCCATGCCTGGGAGGCTAAACCGATGGCCAGGCCAGTTTGAGAGGCTGGATTCTCAGACACTGAGTGCCTCTCACCAATGTTCAGAAAACAGACCAACCAAGGGTTAGAATTACCTTCCTGTAGCCATCCGGTTCCAACTCGCTGAGCTACCTCGGCCAGAGGCCTCAAAGGAGCCACCAGCAAGGACACAGCATCTTTCTGGGTCTGGGGGCTTCTTGGAAGAATTCCGTGGGAGCCACGGTGAGAGCAGGGAATCAAAGTCCTGGAGAAATCCCAGGCCAGAGGTGTCACTCCCCTGCCTTTGGGGGAGCAATACCGAATGCTTCCTCAGACAATGATTTTTGTAGTTGTCAGAGAAGATTCTGGAGTCTCCTACAGTCATTCATCCCAATGACTTACCAACACTCATCATTCTAACAGAATTCAGTTTTTCAAATCTAAATTCCACATACTGAGAAGCATAGCTACGACCCAGACGCTTGCCCCATATGATAATCTTTCTTTTCATTTTAACAAACACTTTCTAGTTTTTCCTGATTTAAAGAAACATTTTTGCTTAGCTACCATCATATTAAAAAGTTTATATTTTTCCTAGAATATAAGAAATATTTTCCCATTTTTTTCCACAATCACCATAATTATTATCTCTGCTGGTGGCTTCCCTATTGCTGACTCACAACAGGGGCTTTGAGAGGGATCTGCAACCCACCTCCCATCTCGCTGAGATGACACAGGGAGAGGCCTGCCTGCCACCTCTTCACAGAAACTGCGGGAGAGTTTGAGAGCGCTCGCTCACTTTGACCCAGAGGCTCATATCCCCCTCCTCCCTCCCTCCTCCAATCTGCAGACTCCCCTACCAAGCGTTCTACATCACTTTGTTTTATAATGTAATTTGGTATCTTACAAATATCACTCACACCCCTCTTAGGAGCCCTGTGAGTTTCTCCTGGGTTGGAAATGTGACTGTCGTATGACGGTTCCAGCACGGTAGCCATTACTTGCTATACAGTAAAAAGTAAAAAGCCATCCTTCAAGGATTTGTTCAGACACAGAACAGATTTTGGCATTGATCATGACCGACCTGGAACTGCAGGAGGTTTCTTGTTTTGGTTAGGAACAAGGGGTTTTGATTTCAAAAGCGTTAGTCACATTCTGCCAAGCTCGGCCCTAACTTTGATGAGGCAGCAAATACTCTTGGAGAGTTTAAGAGGAGGCCAGCTTTCCATCAGAGCAAGAGGTAGGGCTCATTTTCCATGCAAACGTCCGCAAAGCTCTAGCACAAACAACTACGCCCATTATTTTCCCTAATGTGTTTTGAGTGAGAGCCAGGGCTGTGTAAGTTCTCCAGTAATTGCTAATTAAATTGGCCAACCCAGAAAGGCAGTGAGAAGGAAGTTCACCTGATCCGTCTTAGATGGACAACCACTCCATTTATATGTCCAGCCAAGAAAACCAACAGCTTGGGTTAGATACAGCCTTCCACCCATCAAGATGGGACACCTAAAACATGAAAATGTCAACCGGGAACTTAACTGTGAGCAGTGAGCGCGCTCCGGCTGCATCTGTGTGTGGGTTGGGTGTTTCGAAGCAGTGGAGGCGCTGCCGCCCAGCTGTTCCCCTCATGACACGTGTTTTCTCTCGTAAAACTTCCAGCAGGCTGGCAGGCTCCACGCTCCTCACTTAGCTTTGTTTGTGTTTTCAATGAATCAATGGGATATGGAGACTAATCAACATGTTTAGAAAAATAAAGAAAGGAAAAAAGAGGAAGGGCTCATGATGCTGACTGCTCCCGAAAGCTGGGTGGGAAAAGCTTGGCACAAGCGGGAACACAGGAAGGACACGGAAAAGGTCCAGGAGCCAGGCACGCGGGCCGCCCGGGCCGCCGCGTCCAGGTGTGAGGAAGGAGTCCGCAGGGCAGAGGTGTGACCTCAAAGACCAGACCTTGCGGCTCTCAGATGCCGGCAGGAAGCAGCCCCAGTGCCTCGGCAGAGCTCTGGGCCCGCCACCGCCTGCTCCCAGGCTGGACTCCAACCCCAGTCCCCCTCTGCTGAGCCTCACAGCTTGAACTGCGACCCCCAGGTCTTCCAGATGGTCTCGACATCCCCCTACCCCGACCCCAGTGGAAGAGCAATGCCCACTCCTTGTCCCCTGTCCCCTGCTATAACACTGGAAACTGCCTGAGCAAAGAATCCGTCTGACTTGAGCTCCAGCCCCGAACCCAGGGCTTCACACCTAGAAGCTGACAAAGTGATGAAGAACTCGGTAAGGAGCTGGAAAACGTCGGAGGAACCTGCACTCCGCTGGCCGTCCTCTCCCTCTCCACTAGAAACTATGGCCTCGAGCAACCCAGTTCACTAGGCGGATACCGTGTTTTTGGCTCACCGGATCCAGAACAATAGATCCTTCAAGTCTCCCCATTATAGACCAGAGGAAGACATAAAAGGCAGGGAAACATTTCACACAAAACAACAGAACGTGCTAGTTACCTGAGCTCACACAGCCCTGCTGCAGGGGGTCCTGTAGCGACGTCACTGAGTGGAGGACTAAATAAGAGAAAGGGTTGCAGTTAAACGAGGAAACAAACTGGGGGGTTTAAAGCTTCCTAATACGCTGGGTGCAGCCGAGGGGCGCCGGCATGAGGGCCCCAAAGGCCCAGGGGAGGGTCTCCACTCCCTGCAGGGAGGCCCAGAATTGGGGGGCGTCCAGGCAGGTAGGCAAAGCTGCCGGTAGAAAGCTGGGCCCCAGTCGGGGAGCAGGCAGAAGCTGTCACCCGTGAGGTGTTTCATTCTGTGCCTTTGACTGATTTTCTTTCCTGAGTCCCTGATTTAGCTACTTGACTTTTACCTATATTTATGTATAAACAGCATTTTCTTAATTGGTAACTCATCTTCTGCTGCTTATAAAATTAGCTAGGCACAATCTTCTCTCTCCTAAAAACTAAGTCAGTCCCTTGGGAACAGGTCGCAGAGGAAGGGGGCAGTTCTCAGCCAGCAGTGGAGAGCGTGGCTGGCGGCCTCCCTGCGCTGACTCCCCTCCTCCCTCCCAGCAGCAGCCCAGCAGGGCCGCCCTTACCTGGCCCTGGCTGCTGCCCTTGCACAGGCAGGACGCCCTGGCCCAGCTCGCCATTCAGCCAGAGCTGCATCCGGATGAAGGGCTCGCGGCCTTTCTGGGTCAGCTTGCTCCATGGCTTCGGCCGGGACAGCATGTCGCTGACACTGCCCTGGGACAGGCCCAGCACCTGGAATGGCAACCAAAGGCGCACGGCATCAGTGCCTAGGGTTTGGCGTGAGGCCGCAGAACGCATCAGTGATACGCACAAAGCTGTGCGGCGGCGTGGCAGGGATGGAAGACACACAGGGGGCAAGCACTCCCGGGGCCGAGCACCGACCCAGCCACTGCCTGCTGGGCGGGGATGGCCTGGGGTGGGCGATGTTCTTTTCAAGGTCACTGGTAGGCTGATGCCCTGGTACAGGGAGCCATGGTTATAGTCCCAGCTCTCAGCTCCCAGGGAGAGAAGGGCTGGGAAACGGAGGGGAGGGGTTCTCTCCCAGGGTCTTGATCCTGCCAAGTCTGCGGGGTTGTCCTGACAACCCAAGGAGGAAGCACCAAAACCATCTTGCTCTTTGCCTGGTGGCGCCAGGAAAGGCTGAGGTGCTGGGGGCCAAGGATCGCTTTAGAGTAGGAGCAACGGATGCTGGCAGGATGTAGGGGCCCATCCCCTTTGCTGGCGTTGGGCCAGAGGGGCATTTAGAAAGGTCTGCTCTTTCTGATCACATCCTGCTCTGTGGTAGGGGCCCAGAGGTGAGCTAGTGGTGACAGAGGAGCCAGCCTAGGAGTGAAACTCACTGCAGACGGTCGACAAGTTGCATGCACACACCCGACTTTTCTTACGCTCACATATGGCCATACATATGTATGGGCACAAACACCCCCCACAGGACACAGATGCAGCCCAGAGATATTTAGGGGCTGCATCCGATCACTCTTTGAAAAGTTCTCAAGTTCCAGAATAAACTGCACTCATGGGCCAAACAAGTTCAATGCTATTAAGTCTCTGCTAAATTTAAGGCATGAGCACAAATGTCTATTTAAATGTTCTCAAATGATATTTTTACAACACTGAACTAGAAATTTCAAGGGACTTTAAATTCTCATCCTCATTTCTGTTCACCCCATCACCTTTTGCAAAATCAGGACAAAGAGTTCACAATCCTATGGCAAGGATCTGTAGCCTAGTATATTACAAACATTAATCTGAGGGCAGGACCTGGTAAGGGGGGGTAGAAAGTTGGGGGGAAAGGTTCCATGTGGGCCTCTCAGAGGCCACTGTTGACTGGGCCACATGTCCCTCAGGAAAACTGTCTTTTAGGGGACTGGAACATTTCTCCTTATGTTCAGCAATTCATCACTTAATCTAAAATGATCCTAGGGTATAATGTTTACAATATATTTTGCAGGCCTGGTAAATCCCCATTATCCAGAATCTCAGTGATCAGGATGTGCCAAGAACCGAAAGGGTCTGGGAGCTCATCCACAACCCACATAGTTTCATGAGCCAGGGAAGGACACTGTGGAAACAAGGGTCTTCAGGGCCACTCCTGGGCTCAGCCTGGGCCCTGTGCAGCTCTGCCTGGGCTACCTCTAGCTGTGCATCCCTGGAAACTTGCTCCACCCCTCTGACTGGACAATATCCGAGCACCTTCTGAATTATGAGAAAGGTGCAAATACGCTTCACATTGCTGTTTCTATCCAGTGCCCTCTGGTCTCTGCATGCTGGCTGGCTTTCTCTGTGATCAGATCAGATCCTCTGACTGAAACAGGCAGTAGAGGCGCCTCTGGGCTCCACCTGGCAGTGGGGACAGGATTGAATTTGGTCACCTGCCAGCTTGGAGCACACAGTTAACTTCCCCAAGCTTCAGTTTCCTTATTTGTCAAATGGTGACTTTGCCACTTGCCTCACAGTGTGATGAGGGGTCACAGTGGGTGAGAGAGGCTTGCCTGGAACCTGGCCCCCAGAGGGGATGCAGCAAATGGGACGTTCACTGGCCAGCATCCCTAGAAGTCTGGGAATGGACGCCCCATGATGCTCTCTGGTTAATTACGTGGGTGTTGGCTGCACCCTCCAGGCAGATACAGATACTCCATCTTGAGCAACGAAGAGACCGGAAAACCCAGGCCCCCGAACGGAATCCCTTACCTTCTCCCCAAAGATCCTTTGACAAATGCCGTTCTTGGCCAGCTTCTCTTTCACCTGCCGGGTGAGCTCGATGGTATCCACCTCCTGGTACATGTAGATCTCGTATTGCTCGGGGGTCAGCGGGGGAACCGAGGGCTTGGTGGGCTTCGACAGGGGCACGATCGGGGAGGAGGGCAGAGGGCTGTTCTGGGGTGTCTCGCTGCGGCTGGCCCCGGTCAGGCTCAGCTCCGAGCTCTGGGAGTATGGCGACTCGGCGCTGGGCCAGTCCTTCCAGTACTCGGACGAGGAGGGGCCCTGGAGCTGGCTGCGCTCGGCCCGCGGCTGGCTGCCCCCTCCTTTGTCTTTCCCGCCGCCGGCTTCCTCGGCCTTGGCGTCTTCGGGAGGAGCGCTGCTCTTCCTCTCGGGCTGGACGGCGCTCCACCAGTGGTCCTTCCACACGCCGCTGCGGCCCAGCTCGCTCTTCACGTGCCGCAGGACCCCCTGCGCGGCGTCGGCCGCCCCCTGGAGGTCCGGCCCCGGCGCGTCCTGGGACTCCTTCTTCAGGGCCGGGGGGTTGGGCAGAGCGGGGACGCTGGCCTCGGGAGCCGAGGGGGGCTTCTTCAGGGAGATGGCGAGCGGCGAGTAGCTGGACACTGATGACATGGGCGAGGGGGACATTAACTTGGGGGTCAGGATGGCGATGTCAGTCTGCGACAGTGGTGCTGGCTTTAAGGCGGGGTCGAGGGCAGCCTGCTGGGCCTCCATCTCGCGGCGGGCCTGCTGCAGGATGGAGCGGATGGCGTCGTCGGAGTTCCCGCTGCTGGACGCGGAGGAGGGCTGGGCCGGCTCTGCTGCGGAGCAAACACAGAGGTGAGGCGGTGGCAGAAACCCCCCTCAGTCAGGAACGTGCTTTTTCACTCCACTTCCTCCTCACTTGACCTGCCACCGAATGCAGATTATTCGGGAGAACCGCGCTGCTCTATTTTTCCAACATTTTCCTGGTCGTGAAACATTCATGCATCCTGTCTGAGCAGTGATACAAAGGGCTCACACTACTGCCCTGTGACCCTACGGCCTCCGTGACACACCAACTGAAGGGACTTAGGATCATGTGATGGGGGGTATGCGTGCAAATGCTCCGTGACACCATCTTAGGCTCTCTTCCCCGATTATTTTAAACGTTAACATTCTCATGTGCTCTACTGCAAAATTCTAGTGGTTTGGTTAGCTCAGATTCTCTTCTGGATGGGTGACTATGGTGTGGCCACCAAGGGGGAGGGCGAGGGAGGGACCACAGTGGGCAGTGGGCAGGTCCCAGCTCAGGAACCTAGGGGGGGTGGCCAGGTGGTGGCAAGTGCTCAGCTGTCACGGCTGCAGGCCTGGCGGGGCCTCGCGACCAGACCCACGGGGGAAGGACTCCGCAGAGCAGGGGCTTTGTGGGCACAGGGCAGGTGTGTGTCTGTGTTGAACCCCAGGAAGAAAACTCAGGCTCTTGGTTTCCTCACCAACAGAAGGTCTGAGCTGAGTTTACAGCATGGTGTGCCTCTCAATCAAAGCTCAGTTGGGGAAAAGCTGAAAGGTGAGAGTTCTCGCCTCTTAGATGAGGCAGCTCTCAGGGAGCTCTGAGGGCCGATTCCTGGGGCAGACTGACTGCAGAGGTGGACATCCATCCTTTAAAACCTCCTGCTCCCCCTGGGCAACATTTGTTTCATAAAGCCACTGTTAAGAATTTATCTTTCACCAGTGTTCAGTCAAGCATCTATCCAAATACCAAAAGCCTGTATTGCATTTAAAAAAGGGAATCTGATATAAACTACTTGCTAATTTAAGTCACGGAGGTTCTAGGCCAGGGATACATTCTTGAGTCCATGCTAGGGAATGACATAAGACAGAATGGTAACTATTAGCAAAATATATGTCATGCAGACCTGCTCCTTGCTGCACTTGCCTAAATGCTTGAAAACATGCATTCTATTGTTTAAACAAACAAACAAACAAACAGTTCATTACTGCTGACCAGAGCGCTCATGACAATTGCTGTAACTAAGCTGGGAAGACAGTGGTGGAAGACTTAGACTCCGTACCAGTTTTCTGGACTTGCAGCTCCCTTTTGGCTTGTTCCAGGATGGACTTGATTGCTTCATCAGACCCGGTCTCTGAGGCTCGGATCCGGGTGGTGATGTTACCTGCAGGGAGAAGCCACACTGATGACACCAAACCCACACCTGGAACAAAATTCAGTGCTACACGAAGATGTCATTCTGCTAAATAGCTCCCGAGTTGAGGTGATGACAAGGAGGTGGGCATGGCCTCCTGTTTATCTGTACCTGCTGTGTGTGCAACTTCACAGCGGGTACTGTGGCCTCGGGCAGGAAGGGCTTCCTGCTGACTCCACCTGGCATCAAATAGTACTTGGCCGGTGGGACAAGCTCTCAAGTTCCCCAAGCTGGATGTCACCCGCAGGTTGGGACCAGGGAGAGCAAATCTTTTCATCCAGTATAAAAAAAGATGAAGGATTAAAAGGCAATGCTTTTTTGGTGAGTCATTTAAAAGCAACTCCAACTGCTTTGGCTTGGGACTCCGCTCAAGGCTCTGTACATGTACTTGAGGCCGGTATCCCAGAGGGGAAAAGTGGGCCGGGAGGGCAAAGGGTTGAGGCTGGTTCTCTCTCAAACGTTTGCATGCACAAGGTGAAGAGGCTGAAGGCTTAAGTTAAAAATTTTCGGGTCTCTTATCACATACTGTCTTTTGAAAATTTATGAACAAGGAGAGAAGCCTGCGGACATCTCCTAAAGGACAATTCAGTCTTTCGGTCACATGGTGATGCTCTGCTGAGCAGCCACACGTACAGATGCACTGAAGCCACTACGGCCCGGGGCTGGCCCCCGGCCTTCCTGGAAGCCGTCCACGTGTTTTAATTTTCACTACCTTACTAAATATGAACCTCCACGTTAAACCATTTAAAAACAAGCCAACCACCAGGACAAAACCCCATTAAAGATGCGACTCCGAGGAGGGCAGTGGGGGCTGGCTTGCCGGGACCCGCGGGAGAACTGGTGACCCTTGGAGCCTGTCTACTCGGTAGCACCCTCGACAGAGTTCAGGGTTCAGGGAGGTACAAGGAAGCAGCAGCATCTCACTGGACTCAGTCACCTGACTTTTTCTCAGAGCAACAAATGTTATTCTTTCACCTGCTTCTGAGAAAACGAGGAAAGGCGTAATTTGAATCTGAGGGGGGTTGGGATTCGTACTGAGGGGCTAATGCTGAGTGGTGCCGCCTCCTCCCCGCCTCTCCTGCGCTCGGGAGAGCGCGGCGGGCAGCTCGGGAGGAAGGGGCTGTGCGTACTTGAACCCGTGCTTTGTTTTATACTTACTAGCTCTGTTTTTCCATCAGGTTCCAGGCCAGAATCACACTGTACAGTTTTAACCCAAATACACAGCTAAGGACATGCTGCTTCCTAGGTTACTAACTGCAAAGAAAAACACCTGCCTGCAACATACCTTCAGACCCATTTCTTCGTTTCGGTACTTCCTGAAATAGTCTGTTCAGGCTCTGGCCTGGATTCTCTGTTGAAAAACAAGTGTGGTAAGAACAAAACAATCAGGGGGATGGTGGTGTTGACGATATGGGCTGCGTGACATGAAATCTGAGCTGCCTGTCACTACAGAGAGGGCTCAGGGCTTCCTGTGCCGCTCGGGAGTCACTAGAAACTTCTGAGAGGCCCTTCCCTGACCAACCGGCTGGCAGAGGCCACAGCTCTGCTGACAAAGGAGATCAGATGGACCTAAGGGGCGGCCGACGGCAGCAACGCCACGAGGGTCAGATGGAGGGAGCTCTGCCGCCCAGCGAATCGCCCACCAGCCCCGGAACAAAGCTCACATTAATCATCCAAAGACAGTCAATTTCAGTTAACATCGCCAGAAGAGGCCACCACGTCCTTTGTGCAAACTGATGCTGTCTCCCCTCTCCGTTTGAGTCTAAAATTTCAGGGTATGTCAGATGTGTCTGCTAAGAGTCCCTCTCTCTGTCACTGCTGACTTGGCAGAACGATCCCTGTTGTTAAAGAGGGAAGGAATTCTTGCAATCAGGGATGTGACGGATTTTTTAATCTTTATGGAGGGTGGGGCAGGAAGGGTGTTTTAATAAAGCTTTCATGTGTTTTACTCAAGGCAGGCGTGGGTTGCTCGTGACGCTAAACAAATCACTAACGGAGTGGAAACACTGGGCGTGAGCTGACCGCGGGACATACTGCCCGCCCCACCGTGCGGAGGGGAGGCCGGGGCACGCGGTTGGTCTGCTTGCCCCACGGAGACGGTGCTGCACGAGGATGCTGCGGCTCTAGGGCTGGATGGTACCCACGGGCCCCTCCCACCCCGAGGCCAGCAGCCAAGGCCGAAAGGACCTCTGGGCACTAAACGTGTCAGAAAACGTCACGCGTGAGGTAATTCCCTGTTACCGAGTTTACTATGTGAGGTGCTGAGCGAGTTTCCGAGGCCAGATCTCCCAAATCTAACAGCTTTACGAGCTCATGCCAGTGGACCCTGGAGCTCTGGAAATGGCAGGGCTGAGAGGATTTTACCTGATGCGATGCGCAAATGTCTCATCACACACACACACAGACACGCACACACAACCCTGTGACGGGCCCACGCGTGGGCGCCAACCCACGCGAGCCTCTCACCTCTCTGTCTGCCTTGGATGCTGCGAAGAGCCAGGATGTTCTGCTCGTCCGAGAGGAACTGCTTCATCTTGTGAAAGGGCTCCTTGCCGCGAACCGTCAGTTTATTCCATGGCTTGGGCCGGGCCAGAATCTCGCTCACAGACCCTTGAGACAGTCCCAAGACATAGTGTCCAAAAATGCGCTGTCCGATGTTGTGCTTGATCAGCTGCTCTTTCACCTGCCGGGCGATTTCTGCAGTGTCCATCTCCTCGCCCTCAGAGACGCTCCCAGCACTTTCTGACTGGCTGGGAGACGGGGCCATGCCATTTACATCTGGGCTTTGTTGTAATGGACTTTGGGAAGATATGGAGTTTGTGCTGTATGGACCTGTTGAAAAAATCATGCTTGTGCTTCCTGCTTCCTGTATGGCCTTGGAGTAGAAGGACTGCATTAGCTGTCGTTGGAGGAGAGAGTTTAGTGCAAATTTTCCCGTAGAAGCCAGGGGTAGGCTGGGGCTTGCCAGGGATGAGCTGAAAAAGTCTTGCGTTAACCCCGCTGGTGAGAACTGGTGTGTACCATTAGTATTGGAAGCCTGCTCCCCCGTGTTGCGGGGCAACTGAGAAGGAGGGGAGGCCGGCAAAGGTCCAGGACGCCGACTCTCAGGCTGGTCTTTCCCTTTTCTCCTGGCTGACCCTACAAGGAAGGGCAAACATAATGCATTATGGGGGATTCAAAAGGGAAAAAAAACCAAGACCAAAATGCAAAGTGTGCCCCGCAAAAGGGAAAAAAAAAAGTGCAGATTTTACCAGGGCCAATGAGGTGTGTTGGTTTGTTTTTCGATTGAATTTTTAAGTTAGCCAAACGAGGCCCCCCGAAACAAGCAACATGCATTTCATGTTTGCACCTTTCTTGTACGTTGCAGCCTGGAGAGTTCCCCTTGACATAGAGTCAAACTCCTAACGTGACAAGGAGCCGGTACCACACACAGTAAAGAGTCGACAGGTCGCGGGCCTCTCATCGGGCCTCTAGCATTCGAGCTCTAACCAGAAGGGCCCCACCTGAGGAGCAGCAAACACTGACATTTTGGGACCAACGGATTCGCACACCACTTGCTCTGAGGCGAATGCACTGCACCGAGTCCACTCGATCGAAGGCACGCACATTTTAAGAATGAAATATCACCGGAGCCCGAGACACTCTCAAACGCTTTACCAGCTGCCAAAACCCGAAGCAGTCAGTGACGCCACCACTTTGGGACGAGCAAAGAAAGGCTAAGGATGGGGGAGGCGTTCCCAAGGAAAACCTGACAAAGGAAGAAAAGCTCCACTGAGCCGGCCGGGAAGGGCAGGGGCTGCCCCGGAAACGCCACAGGAGAGGCCGCACAACTAGGAAGAGATCAGAAAAGCCACCGTCCTCGAGCATCCCTCCGGCAGCCCTGCCTGCCTGCCCTCCGCAGACGCCCTGCGGCCGGCTACGCGTCTCGTCTGGACCGCCTGGGCGGGGGGAGTGAGGAGGACGAGGAGGAGACCGAACACGCATTAGTCAACGTTCTCATCCCCCGCTGACGCCCGCCATGCACCGGCCCCGACTCACGGTTTGCCTTCCTCTTCCTCGACCCCCGGAGGGGCCGAGCGCGGGCGCGAGACCTTGTCAACCTACCGCTCAGGTCACTGTTGGAGATGCGCAGCGCGGCGTTCTCGGACTGCAGCGCGCGGTTCTTCTCCAGCAGCAGCACCTCCAGGGGCCTGGGTGCGTCCTAGATGGGGCAGAGCGGGGCTCACCGCGTGGCCGGCCACTGGACCCCACAACCCCCACCCTGCGGCTTTCCCACCCGCCTCTCCTGACCCTGACCTGTTACAGAAATCGGACCCCCAAGGATGCTCCCTACATGAGTTCCTCTCCAGAATAACTCATTTCAGTTGAAGTAACTTTTCTCCTTCTAGGCTCACAGTTTCCAGACAGCGAACTATTCTCTGTTCTGTCCCCAAGTCTGAGAATCTAAACCTATACCTCTTGGCCATGGGACAGGCTGCCGAGCCACACACCTGCCAGAAGTCTCCTGCAAAGGGGACCTTTTTTGCTGCCAGTCACTGAGAGTCTGCTGTCTTCTGGAATTTTGGAGCGGGATTCTAATGTGAGGACTTAAAATTCTAATTGGCCACTGGGTTACCATGTGCCATTGTCATCTTAGCCCCGTGTCTCGTCCACGTGAGGCAGGCGATCAGGGTCCCTGAGCCAAGCCACCCGGGCTGACCTTTAACACAACCTGAAACCATTTCTTTCCATGTTCTTAGCACCTGCAATTTCACTTGAACCGAGTTACCGGCTTGGAAAACACTAATGGAATTTTCTCTTCTTGCCCCTTTTTAATTGAAGAGAATTTACTTTCACTTGGGTAGCTATTCCTGAGGAGTTACTCGTCAGCTGTGGGCGAGGAGTCGCATAGAAACATCATGATTGTGAAGCAGCGAGGGGACGCTCACCCACACGGAAAGCAAAGTGAGACCCGGTACCTGGGTGCCAGCTCCTTCGGACGGTGCGAACTCCATGGACTTCAGAATACTGCGAAGAGCAAGACAGAGCGGTTACCTCCTGCCCGGACCTTCGAGCACAGCCGCGCTAATGAGCGGTCACGTCAGCGTTCCCTGCTCTCCAGGAACTGAGGAGCTGACAACTTTCACAACTTCCCTGGCAGCCTTATCATCTGAGAGCGTCTCTGGGATAACTCTTCAACTAGCAGTTGGCCAGCAAAAATTCCTTGCCCAGCATGTAAATCATTCCATATGGAATCACACCAGGTCTGTTCAGAGTATAATTTTAAAGCGGAGCTGAACATAGACATAACATTGCCGCCAGTGGGACGGATTTGTCAAGCTAAGCGGGGCCGAAAGAGCTGTAATGAGGAAGGTGGGGAGAGAAACCTCTGCCCTCGACCGCCGCCCCTCACGCACACTTGGCAGCTGGTACCCGGGGCCCAGGGGGATTGGCGAGGGGCAAGATCCCACAGCTGGATGGCCCCAAAGCGGCAGCAGACCATCACGGCAGCCCCAGGCTGGGGAAGGAGCCACCACAAGGGTGTAAGAACCCATCCTGATATCTCCTTTGTTCTCCTTATCACTGAAACCACTCTGGCTTGGCCTGTTTCAACAAGTCTGAGAGCTGCGCGGGTTCGGGATGCCCGGCACTGCTTGCAGGCTCTGCCCAGGTGGACATTTCTTTCTTTCTGTGGGTCCACGTGGCCCTGAGAAGCCCGGGTGCCCCTTGCACACTCGAGACAGGAAGGCGAGAACGAGGGTCACTTCCATCCAGCACACTGGGCCACCTGCGTGCTCTCTCCCAGCCGTGCCGTCCAGAAAGCACAGTGTGGACAAATGCCCAGGACCTCGAGACCCCTGTATGCCTTGGCCACCGGGAGCTCCAGTAAGGAGCTGACCGCTCTTCGTTTCTCTGAGGTTGTGTCTTCCTAGGGCCCCTGTCACGTAAACCAACAAGACAGGAACAAGGAGGAGCTGACAGGGCGTAAAACTCATCGTTTTGTTTTGCGGTCAGCTCCTGTGGATAATGAGGACTCTGGGTCCCACTGCAACGAGGAGGGGAGAGGAGGGGAGGCAGGCGAGCAGTCTGGACAAACTTGCCTTTTCTTAGCGGCTGTCACGTTGTTCGCAACTATATTCTTGTCTGAGATCTGCTTTAGGATCATGTAAGAAAAGACTAAGTGCGTCCCTAAGTTTATACTAAAAACATCAGTGTCTCTTCATTTACTCAACAAATTTAGCGACAGCCTATTACCCGCCTGGCGCCGTGCAGAGTCAAAACCACTCACCCTCAGGAACCCTACGGGAGGTGCAGGGTAGAAGACAAAACCCAAACGGCACGAGTAGGAGAAAACCAGGGTGGGGCGGCGGGTCTGTCTCGAGCTGTCAGCGTTTGAGAAGGGCCCTGAAGGGTCCAGAGGCTTTGCAGACCCCTGGGTGGGGTGGGCAGGGACCCTGGGGCTGAGATGGGCCAGAACCGACTGCTGGCAGATGTCTAGAGGACACTGGGATCCCCAGGAAGTGGGGAGCCAGGGACACATTTTAGCAGAAAAGCCACCTGAATGGAGTTTTCAGATGCCTCCACCGTGGTGGGGCTGTGGTGTGCAGACGTGGCAGAAGGGCCAGCGGGGATGCGGGAAGGCTGTTCAGGGAGGAGGGTGAGGGCCAGTCTGCGGAGGGGCGAGACCGCAGCCAAGAAGCATTGGGTCTCCGGGGACAGAGGTGAGCTCGGAGGAGGGGGTGTGGGGCCGACCTCAGCTTGGGAAGAGCAGGGGCTTGGGCGAAGGGATGGGGAGGCAGGTACATAAGTAAAAAAATTCACCTCCGTAAGTTGGAAGTGGGGTAGGGGGAGGGGACAGAGCTTGAAGAGGCTGGACCTGCAGAGAGTCTGGGGGTGTCCAAGGGGTGCTGGCAGAGGCTGTCCACATTGTGGGGGTGAGGCTGCTCAGGAGAGAAGTGAGGGGAGCCCCCCGGAGTCACCCCACCAGGGAGGCTACTGACGGTGGTGGCGAGGAGGTCGAAGAGGCCTTCCAATGGGCTTTTTTAGCAAACCCGAGGGAATGGAATTAAGAATATAAAGAACAGCATGGTGAGTAGGTGGAGGCTTATTTTAAAAGGAAAAATTAAAAATGTCAGCAGGAGAAAAAAGCTGATGGAACAGCAGGAAGAAGCAGGAAGGAAGGGACCCAGGGTGGAGGGGTCAGCCTGGAGAGACAGGACGGAGAAGCCAAGACCAGAGGAGTAAATTCCAAGGTAAAGGCAGCTGCGGGGCATCTGTCTCCTTCATGAAGCAGAGCACTAGGGCGTCTGCTGGGGGTCAGGGTGCAGCTGGGGCCAGGAAAGAGCACAGAGGGTAGGGCAGGGCCACACGTCACAGGGATTCCCTCTGCTGTGTTTGGTAACCTGGCCGTGGAGGCAGGGAGGCCCAGGAGAGACTCTGTGAGGTAACGCATGAGGCCGGGGGGGGGGTGGGCATGTGCACTGTGGGGGGCTGCCCATGAGTCTGGACAGCGCTGGACTCGGGGGCAGGTAGGGACCAGTGTCTGGGAACTGTAGGAGGGCCAAGGGCAGCTCAGGGGAAGGAGTTTGAGGCGGGAGGGTCAGGCTGGGCTGTGGGGCTGAGGAGGGAACTTCTAAGTGTGAGAATGTGAGCATTAGCACTGAAGGGAGGAGAAGCTTCCAGCTGTTGCCTCTTGGATGGAGGTGGAGAGGAGAAGGCCCCAGTGTCTAGGTGGCCAGGGAGGTGCGAGGCCACGAGCCCCCTTTAGACTGGAGAATTTTCTTGCTCTTCTCCTCCTGTTTTGGGACCTTACAGCTAAAAAATAAGCTCATATTTTATATTTCCTCTAAGGGCAGTATCTCTTCTGATTCTGTGCATATTGGCAATTTTTACACACAGAGTTTTATAAAAAGTCCAAAGAATTCAGGCACAGGCCTGAGTGCAAACAGCCGCACTGCTGGGCGGCTCGGGACATGGCCCATCAAGGACCCTGCAGCCGCCCCCTGGCTGGCCCGGTGTTTCCTGAGCAAATGTCCCCAGTGAGCCCTGGCTTGTGAATGGCCGAGCTGGCACCTCCACACTTACTTTAGTTCTTTCTTCACCTCTTCATAGTCAGCCTGTCCTTTGAGTTTTTCTTCCAGTTGCTGAAAATAGAGAGGGATTTTGTTAGTGGTTGTGTCCAAAATAGGTCTACGGGCTTTGCCATGGACTGAAAGTTGTGTCCCCATCAAATTCAAATGTTCAGATCCTAAGCCCCGAGGTGATGGCATTAGGGGGTGGGACCTATGAGAGGTGATGTGGTCATAAGGGTGGGGCCCTCACAAATGGGATTAGTGCCTTAAAAGAGACCCCAGAGAGCTCCTTCACTGTTTCCACCAGGTGAAGCCACAGTGAGAAAAAGGCCATCTGTGAACCAGGAACGGAGCCCTCACCAGACACCGAATTTGCTGGTGCCTCGATCTTGGACTTCCAACCTCCAGAACTGTGAGAAGTAAGAGTTTTTTGTTTATAGCACCTGGTCTATGGTATTTTGTCACGGTGGCCCCAGTGGGCTAAGACACTCCACTGACTACATTCCCTGTAAAGCATCTGGTGTCCCTGAGGGAGCCAGACACACACAGTGAAAGGTGACAACAGTGGTGGTGTCCCTTGTCCTTCACTCGTCTGGCCACACACACGGCAACCATAAGGTAATGTAAAACCTAATGAAAGCAGAAGGAAAAAGCTTTACAAAAGTGGAAAGCAGAATAAGGAGGAGGCCATTTGGGATCAAATCCCACAAAATGGCGAACAGGATGAAGAGATGCACCCCTGGTGTTTTAAAAGCAGTGTGTGGCTTTTCACAAACTGCGCGAGGCCAGTTGACATGCATAGTCAGTTGTCAACACCTTCAGTGGGAACCTGCTGACAAGAGACACAGCCCCTTTGTCGCTGAGGCTGGCATCCAGTGGGCACCAGGAAAGACATGTTTGTACTTCTGGTTGGATCCCTCCAGACATGGGGGTTTTAAGAGTGGAGGCCATTTTGCTGGGCGGTCAGTGGTTTCCCTGACAGATGGTTGTCTGAGTCCTGCAGGGAGGGTCCTCCCAGGGTACCCTGGCCAGCAGGGCCACGGCCGAGCACAGCTGACTTCCTGGCCCTAGAGTGCCCTTCAGACGGAAGGCCCGGGGCCTTTGTGTGAGCCCCAGGGGCTGACGGGCGCGACCGCACGTTTCCCAGTGTGATGATGCTCTGACATGTGCCACTCAAGCCTGTGAGCCCACCGGGTGTTCCCACGGAGCCCTGCAAGGCCGCCTTGTCAGGAAGAGCCTTTGGAGTAGAGTGGTCGGCACAGGGTGTTTCCTTCTATGAAGATGCTTTTTACCACCCCCTAACCATCCCCACCGAGCTCTTTGGGGGAAATGAGGCAGCTTGACACAAAACACAAAGTCCCAGCCCAGCGGGGGTTCTTGGCCATGTAGCATCTTGCCAAGGCTGGGGTGAACAAATTCTAATTCTTGAGTCAACAGCCCCTCTCCATCCACAGGGCTTCCAGTTACTTTTTTCAGCTCTACCTGACCAGCCACGTCTATGATCATAGATTAAAGCAGACCGAGAGCATTCTAGAGTTTGGGGAGGAGAGTTCCACCTGGCCCATCAGCCTTGATGCTCACCCAATTCCCACATGGCCTGTGGTTTTGAGAACTCAGGTGTTCACTCAACTCAACTCACGTAGCCCACCTTTTCCTCTCGCCCTTGCTGGTGGCTCCTTGTGTGTGTATTTCCCATTACGTGAACGGCTCTGCCCTAGTTTCTGTTAAAGATCTCTTGCCAACTTTATGTCTTACAGTTTCTCATCACAGTCAAACAGGGGGTAGCCTGCACTCATTTTCTGACAAAAGATCTTCAGGAGGTGCTCATGGAGAAGTGACCGCATTCATCCTCCTGTGGTCGGACAGCAGAAGCACGCCGGGTGGCCTCCAGAACACAAGCTGACCCGGGGCTGCCGGGGCACGGAGCGCCTTCAGAGTGTGAAATTCACCGACTCTGGGACGCATCGCACACAGAAAATGTGGTCGTGTTCAGAGCACAGGAGGCAGACAGGAGGAAGGGACGACACGGAGCACTTCTGAACCTGGCCCGGCCCGGAACGCAGAGCCGGTCTGTCACTCACGGCTGGCCCCTTGGACCTGTGAATCAACGGCTCGTCCGTGCAGTGGGAGCAGCAGCAATGACCTCCACGAGCTGAACAAAGGCAGGACAAAAAGCCGGGGCAGATGCTGGCACCGCGGGGCCTTCCCTGCAGGACCGCGCTGCTGCCAAGTCCTGGGGTGGGCTCCCCAAGAGCCCCGCTGCAGGTCTTCTTTGCAGACCTGTGACTGGCCCGGATCAGCAGGTTTGAGGACTAGAATCTGTTTAACTTGGTCAAGTAATAGTTTTCACTGAGAACTAAACAGCTTCCACTGAAATTTCTGCCATCTCCTTGGGGGCAACTGAATCAGGAAGCACCGAAGACGGAATCTGCAAACCTCTTCATCAGGACACCTGGATGGGGGCCTGGCAGGGCCGCCTCCCAAAGCCCATCCCCACGAGCTCTCCTGACAAACGACCCCGCAGAGCGCTGTCTCAGAACCACACCTGCGGTGGCCACACGGGTGGGAGGCACGTGGCCTGGGGCCCAGCACTGGAAAAAGACCAAGGGCCCTCAGCTCGGTTCGTTGACCAGACATGCACAGCAGGTCGAGTTCCAGAGGCTCCTGGACTGGAAAGGGCGGCAGGTGCTCCTGGGGGTCACTGTCTCTGGAGAGACTTCCCTCAGGTTTCGCTAACGCTTGCTGAGCCGCGGGCCGGATTCCAGGCTCGGCTCCACATCCCACATGCCATCTTACTTAATTATGGCCACACATCTGCAGAGCATCTGTCTCTTCCTCCAAGGAAAGAAAAAAACCACTGGAGTTGTGCAGCGCACACCTTGGCAGAGCTAAGGCTGCCCCAGCCGCTGGCAGAATGTGGAGGCAGTGAAGCACTGGTGGGCTGGGGCCCGACAGATCAGGGCCACGTCTGGCTCTGCCACTTAGCTGCGGGGTGACCGTGGAGAAGACACTTAACTTCCCTGAGCCTCAGCACCTTCATCTATAACGGCACCTACGGGACAGTGCTCTTGTGAGGATTAAATAAAGTACAGTCATCCCTCGGTACCCACGGGGGACTGGCTCCAGGACCTCCGTGGTCTCAAAGTCCATGGATGCTCAAGTCCCTTGAACAGAAGGGTGTAGTACAGTCGACTTCCGAATCGGTGGACGTGGAACCTGCAGACCCAGGGCCAAGCGTAACATGGAGTGCTTCGCCTGGCGACCTGCACGTGGCAAAGCACCCGTTAACGGTGGTTACTGCCATTACAGTAGTTATGACGATTCTGTCCCTGGTGGGTGGTACTGAATACAACTGTGTTGTTCCTGAAGACATGCTGTGCTTCTGAATCCAGGGCTCCGTTTATGAAGCTCTCCACAGCCCAGTTTGTTGTCTCCCAGTGTCCCCGCTGCGGCAGACCCTCGGAGGAGGCCAGAGGCCTGGAGCCGCTCTGGCTGTTAAAGACGCTGATGGCAGGAAAGGCAGCCCTGTATCCAGTGCCCTCAACACAGAATCTGGGAAGCGGGTCCTCCTGAAAAAGGACTCATGTGAAGCAGCACACGTGGGCCCCATTCAGAGAGAGGAGAAAGGGTCAAGGTGCGGAGGTGGGCTGCCCGTCAGTCCCTCTGGCTGAGTGTGACCCTGGGTGATGGGCGTAGCCTGTCAGGCTTCATGCTCCTCATCTGGGAAATGGGGAGATAAGAACAAGGGTTTTCCAAGGACAGCAGTGAGGAAATGTAGGATGCACGAGTGCAGACTTCAGGTGCCTCTCAAACAGGATAGTTGTGTGATGTAGGTCACATACATTTAATACTCATAAAGCACACCTGTGGTTCCAGGAACTTAGTAGGTGCTCATCAAATGTTTCTTAAATTGCCAGAGGAATTATCTCCATGGTCTTAAAATCCTGGCTACGACGCCAATAATAAGATAATCTAGTTTAAAATGCAAAGCACTTTGGCGTGCAGCAAATTAGGCACTAGATTTATAGAAGATACCCGTCTTAGTCAAGTCATAACACAGGGCTCTCCGTGCTCTAGGGCTACCAACTGAAAGGACCTCTGGCACGGAGGCTAATGTAGAGACCCTTGAAAGGCCTCCTCCTCTGGGTTGCACAACGAGGGGTCAAGGCCACAATACCTCCGCCACACGACAGACAGGGCTGGAGAGGCGATTGTGCTGCAGTTTACAGACGGCTCCATCTCTTCCTCCCAGACGATCCGAGCCAGGCTTTCAGCAGGGCTACCTGCAGACCCACCGCTCAGGCCAGGGACACGGGTGTGTGATTCCCACCTGACCTGGACCCACGGGCTGAGGGGCCGCCAGTCAGAACTGAGTGAGTATGACTGGGCTCCCTGGTCCAGGGCAGGGTTCCAAGGTTGACACTGCTGCTCTGGGGGCCAGAACTAGGCAGTGTGCACCTCCTTTTCACCTGAACCCCCTCTGGTCTCCACAGTTACTTGGTGAGAGGCAGCAGTTACATCAGTTTAGGGTCCACTGATGCTGGGCCTGGGGAGGAGCCCAGGGAGGCCCGGGTGGGTGCTCTGCCTGTGCTACAGGGATGCCGAGGACACGAGACAAAAAGAGGAGACCCACCCCCTTGCCAGATGGGGGGTGGGGAGAGTGACCATGACCCTGGAGGGCTGGTTGCCCGCTGAAGTGTGGCTCGGGACAGGAGAGGAGGCATCCTTGCAGGGCAACCCTCCGTTTCCAACTTCCACGAGCTGTGATCCAGGTGTGACCAGACACAGGAGACAGGAGCCAGCTCCTTCTCGTGGAACGGTGCCATCACAGACCGGAATGGTCCTGGCTCAACATTTTGGCCACCTGGACGTTGCAGGGTCGGCTAAGTGTGACACGATCTAGGGACTGTCTGCAGGTGATGATCTAGATTACCTCACCTAGTGACCAGGGGCATGTGTGTCTAATTCTTCGTAGATTCCCACAGACAGTGATCTCCCTAAAGCATTTCCAGTAAGAGCCACTGGTTTACAGTGATTTCATAGGGACCCACGTAGGACCTCCAGCTCCAGCCTCAATCCTGATAGGACCTCAAGGCCTCTAACACAAAGCCCCTCGGTTTCTTCCCTTTGAGGCCTCTCTACTACTGCCTCCCTGGCCCAGGGCTACCCTCGCCGCTCCTCCTCCCCATGGAAGGCTCACTCCTTCCAGGCAGGACAAGGCTCTGGCAGGCTCGGCCCCTGGGCTCTCTGACACCGGGACGTTTGATGTTAGGACTTGCTTGCACTGTCCAGGGCGGCGGGGGCAGTGGAGGCCCCCCTCTACAGCCACAGGCTGGACAGCACCAGGCCCCGCCTCTCCTAACTTCAGCCACTTCCTCCCAGAGACAGTGATCGTCATCACACCCGCTTGCCAGTAAGCATCAAACAAGACGCGGATGTGAGAGCTTCATATAGAGCCAGTGATAAGATGCTCATTGAAATGCAGTCACGGGCAGCCTTGGTGCAGAAGAAACACAGGGCTGAGTGAGGGAACTTATGTAACCAAAGAGGCAGCGTCCAGAATTAAAGGCACTGAATGAGTACACAGAAGTGGCCGTCAGTCTTTTCTCCTGTTCCCCACCCCGAGGGACAGTGTGCTCCACGGTGGTTCAGAAGGACCCACCAGAACCTGGAGAGGGGGAGTGAGGGCTGCGGAGGGTTGGGGAGGCTTGTGCGGTTTGGAAAAAGGCCCCCAGGTGATTCTAACACATCTGCCCACCCACCCAGTGAGAAGTACTGGTCTTTAAAGCATCTGTAGAAAATATAACTTCTCCCTAGGGAAGACTGGCATTCTTTTCGCTAGCCTTTCTTAGAAACATCCGTTTTAAATCGGAGCTATTGGTAGCATTACCGTCTGTGCTCTGGTGAGTGTAACGCAGGTGACTGTCTCACGACACTGCCTCTGAGCTGAAGTTTTCCAACAGAGGACCACAGAATCGTGTTATCGGAAACAGCAGCCTTGTAACGTGAGTCGGGTTATTTCATTAATTATGAATACAGAATTCTCCCTTGCACGTGCAGTGGTGCAGAAGCACTTATCAGAATGGGCAGGAAGCAGCATCTCCCGCTTCTGACTCTGCTTCGACATCTATCTGAAGGCTAGAGGCCACACCACCGTATGTGGATAGCGATGGTGAACTCGGCTTGGACAAGTGGAGCACGGAGGGAGAGACTGGCACACATCCAACTGGTAACCTATCCTCACAACTATAAATCAGTTATTTTGGGGAAGGGAAGAAATACTAGTCACAAAGGGCAGAAGAGTTTCAAGGTGCTTGGGAAAACAAAACAATCAGTTCCCAAGTACATCCCATTTCAGAGTTTACCCCTAGGGTGTACTGGCAGAGAAACCCCCGTAAACCCGAGACTCTCAATAAACTCAAGGCTGTCCGTGATGCCTTCTGCCCTTGTGAGACCAGTCCCCACCCCGGAGTGACTGTCACGGAGCACATTAGCATTTATTTCAAAGGCCACCATCAGCGTCCACGGTGAAACCACCCACCGCACCGAGACACGGCTGGAGCCCAACTTGAGCCCTGCGCAGAGTGTCCCAGAGTCCCCCAGAGCTGAACAACACTGTCCAAGAAGGAGAAGACCAGGGAAGCGGGACGGCAGGAAGTAGGGAGGAGGAGGAACTGTGAAGTTCAGGGGTGGCTCCCGGCTGCCCTGAGCGGCCACCACTGTGGGGCCCGAGACCCCCAGTCTCGAAAGCATCAGGTTGCCAGTTTGACAGGTCTCATTCATGAAGTAGTTTCCGAATAATTGTTCCGCTGCTTAGTTTAGATTTGAGACTACAAATTACACACGTTAGGAAAAAAAAAGCCTTGGGAAGTATCTCATTCAATTAACCTTATTCCTTGGGGTGAGCGAGGCAGACGTGCTCGTTTGGGGAAGGCTGATGCCTTTTGCGTGCTGGTCCGATATCAGGGAAAGCTTCACTGCTGGCGACAAGGGGTTAAGATAATTAAAATCAGAGAAGTCTTGTTACTAGAGGATATGTTTTGATTATTAGATCAGATGAAGATAAGGGAGTAATAATTTTGGAAGAAGTATCGCCGAATTGTTTCATTAACTGTACGGTATTAAAGAATTCCCCCAAGATACGGATAAAGAACATTAATTTGTGAAACTGCGTTTCATTTTTCGTGAAGGCAAACATTAAAACCTTAACTGATTCAGAAGAAATTGCTCTATAATAAAAAATGTAAGGTCTTCAGCCTCCCTCTCCTGCAGTCAAACTCATCGTGTATTGCATTGCATCTTTTAACTGTGGCAGAGGAGGGGAAGGCGAATGGTCTAATATGATCAATGCCGGCGAGCGTCAGAAGTGGCTAGAACATGACAAAATGAGATTTAATCTGAACTAAAAAGTGAGTACTGCACTCACTGGGCAGGCTGAAAAGAGAACAGAAAAACACTGGAGAGATGAACGCCAGGTCTCAGCTTCTCCCCAGAGCTGGCAGCACCGACTCCTCAGAGGGGCCCGGGCACCCGGCAATTTCTCAGGCTGCAGGTAAAATCCACCCCAGAGAGTCAAGGAAGAATCTAGTGAGGCTGAGCCCGGGGTGCACTGGCGCCAGCGACGTCAGGCCAGCGAGCTGCCAGGACAGACTTGCTGGCGACTTAGTTCTGCCCAAGAACCAAGAAACACGGTCATGTGTTGAGGGGGAAAAAAAACCCTCAAAAAAAAAAAAATCAAAATGGGCCTAGCCACATTCTAGAACTACTTTGTACAAGGAGAAGTTTTCCTGACATTTTACAACTAACTCTGATCCAGTTTCTTCAGTGCAGTGACTATAATTGGCAGTTGGTCACTTATTCATTCACACCTGCCGCAAATGGAGGCTGAGCGGGGGGCGGGGGGTGGGGGGGGGTGGGCAGACGGAGGAGGTGCCCACACCCTCGCTGGTCCTGTCTCTTCTTCGTCAAATAAGATGCCACCGAGGAGTCCCTTCTGGCTTTGACACGTGAAACTAGAGTGCCAAAACTATCTTCAAATCATGCTAACTTCAACAGATTGGAAATACCTTAAATAAAGCATAATTAAAAAATGATAATGTAAAAGGTTCTGGGTTGTGCATCTGGGATATGAATTTATGGGAAGCCCAAGGAGGATCTAGCTTTTGGCAAGGCGGCTGATGACTCAGTCTGGGAGATAAGAGACTGATCATGGGGGCTCCCTGTGCTGAAGCAACACCACGCTTTGGGCCCTGGCCTGCAGCACAGGCCTGAGGGTCAAAACTCATCCCTGCAGCTTGGGAGCAGGGCCCACGGGGCTCGGAGCAGACGTGCCCTCAGCAGACCCCTGGCTTTCATCTTCTTGGGGCACAGGATGGGCTGGAGTCTCTCAGCGTGCTGGGTCCCCCTGCCAGCAGGCTCCTCCGAGAGCCCGGGAAGGCCAGCAGTCTGGACGGCCTGCACGCTCACAGCCACCCTGCCCCCTAGCAAGCACACAGGGCTTCCGGACCCAGCACCGACGGTCTCTGAGTTCTTGGGGGTTTGGTGATGCTGGGGGTGGGTGAGCACTGAGGACGGGGGGTTTCCATGTGTTGCCTGTGAGGGACAGACAACCAGGAGGGACGGGCCACCCTGGCCAGAGCTGACAGGAGGGGTCAAAGCCTGTCCATCTCGCTGCTTTGGGCTCTAGGACTCTGCTTCCAGCTGCTACACCAGAGGTCAAGGCTGCCATGTTTGCTGTCAATCCCAGATAAAGTGTCCTCCAACAAGAGCCCTCATGGAGCTCCTGAGTGATGACGTGTCCAGGGGAACCTCATGCCTCCTTATCTGGTTCTCACTGGAGGGAAGGACTTTGGTTGACAGCTGGAGCTTGACTGAGATAAAACCCCAGCAGTCACTTTTGTTTTTAAAGGAGGAGAAATTTTAACCATCACCTTTGCAGACAGCAGATATATACTCGTGCGAGGGCTACAGTGGGGCGCATGAGGTGGCTTCTGAGGCGAGGCCTCCTGCCTCCGTCACTGCATCCAGTGCGTGCCCCAGATGTGGGGTCCGAAGTGGCCCACTGAGGAGCTCAGGGTGTCAGTGCAGGCGGAGCACGGGGTTAGGCCGAGGCTGTGCGAGTGCACTGCGGCCCTCCCCTGGACCCCCCGGCCCCCCACCCCTCCGGCGCCCTTACTTTGAGGGTGCTGTTCTTGGCACTCAGCTGCTGCTCGAGCTGGGAGATCTGGCTGGCGGAGTTCTCACGCAGCTTGGTGAGGCTGGCCTGGAGTCTCTGCACGTCCTCCACCAGCTGGGCGATCTCCCGCTCCTTGGCGGCCAACTCAACTTCCAGGCTGGAGCGGGTCAGCACCTCTATGGCCTGCTCCTGCGGAGGAGAGAGGAAATGACGAAACTGCACAGCTTCGGACGGGTGCTTGGGGCTAGCAGTGCTGGCAACCGAGGCAAAAACCAGGCACCTGGGAGGATGTGGACGGTGATGTGGATGAAACAACACCCCCTGCTGCCTCTGCATGGACTGGACCGGCCGATCGCCCTCCCCACACCATCTGCCTATCTGCACGGGAAGCTGCCGCCCGGACTCCTCTGTTCCACGAGCATTTACTGAGCACCCACCACGTACCAGGCACACTGGAGGGAAAAAAAGGACCGAACACCCTGTCCTTATAGGGCTTCCCGTCCAGTGGTACGGGGCAGGGAGGGTGGGATGCCTCAAATACGTTTATTAGTGGCACAAAGCGGGCCGGATGGGGATTAGCACCACGGAAAGACCGAAGCAGGGAAGCGGCAGTTGGAGTTTTTAATAAGATGGTCAGGAAGAACCTCATTGGGAGGGCGAAATTTGAGCAAAACCCTGAAGGAGGTGACAGAAACAGCCCTGCTGATGGCTGGGGATGCCGGAGGGGAAGGCTCCAAGGAGGCTCCTGGACTGGTCAGAAGCATTCAGGTTTTCTACCTCAGTGTCCTTCTGATTCATTACTGTGTGATCTAGAAGCTGAGATACTGTCTGACAAGTTGATTCTGAGTCAGCATTTAAAAAAAAAGAGTTTGAAAATGTTGAAGATGCATACTTGGGGTTCCTTTGCGTAGGAACACTTCTGATAATTGATGTTTTAAAGAACTGACTCCCTACACCCCAAGATTTGCTCATCCTGGAAAATATGCAAAACAGGGACAAGGCATTTTTTTTTAAAGTCAAATCCGTAATTCTGCTTCCCAAGGATGAAAGCAGTACTTTTTTCAAGTTTTAAAAGTAGTCATTAAAAAAATAAAAATAAAAGTAATCACAGCTCCTGAATAGTTATGGAAGCTCTTCTGCTGGGTGCATGCACTTCTGAGCAAGGCTGATGAAGGGGTCGGGGAGGCCAGCACTGCACAGGTCCCTGTGACAGCAGAGAGCCGGGGTGTGGAACGCCACCATCCTCGATGTCACCCTCACCCCCACCCCTGGGAAGTGCACTGCTGCAGGTCCCGATCTGGCCTAAACTGGGGTGGGAACCAGTGGCAGCTGCAGCCCCAGGGGGCAGGCCTTTGCCATCGAAGAATGTGGAGTTTTGTGGGCAAAGAAGAGACTCCTTTCTGTGTGTTTGGCTTGTGTAATGCTGTAAAGTGAGTTCTTCACTTCCCCTGACTTCTGGTGGATTGGCCAGTGGCCCCGGGGCCCCAGTGAGCATCCTCCCGCCAGCTTCTTTGAGAGGAACATGCTGTCCAAACCAGTCTGGTTCAGACTGTGCTCCACAGACTGATGCCAATTCACACACTGTTGCTGGTACACAGTGAGACGAGCACCGAAATGGAGAGTAAGTGTTTAGAAACTTTTATGGCAATCCGACTTTGCTGTGACATTTTTATTATCTTTTGTAAAACTATCAGTCTGCAACAGATTGGAAATTAAAAAAAAAAAGCAACAAAATAAAACTGCCCTTCAGCACAGAGAATTTAGGAAGCACCACCCTAGACAACGCGGGTTGGAGCCAAGGTCAGGGGCCAAGGGACCTCCGCCGGATCCTCCCAGCAGTGAAACAGGAGAGCACGCAGAGGCCATCGCAGAGGGCTATCTGCTCAACTCCTAGGGCCCAGCCCGGCCTGGCCGCAAGCTGACCACGTGACCTTTGGCATATCAGCTAGCTCAGGAACCCGGACCACCGATTTCTCATTCATAAAACAGCAACATCATTTGTGTTGTGCATAAACTAAACGAGATGAGATGAGATATACCCCAAAGTGGCAAGACCGTGGAAATAGGATAGAAGAGATCATCCTACTCTAAGCCCAAGTGAGCCCACTCCCATCTCAAACCCGAGGCATCCTGTCGTCCCACAGTGAAGACACAGCGAGAAATGAAGGAAGAAATGGACAAGGGCCTGGGGGCTCATGCGGGACTGTGGGCGGAGGGAGAGCCTTGCACCTGCGGGAAAGGCTGGGGCCGGAAGTCCCCGGGCACAAGCTAGAAAGGAGACTGTATGACAGGGCACACTAGATGCTGTTTTGGTGGAGAGGGGGTTTAAAACTGCAGGGAGGTCACTGTCTGGCAGTTTGGATACCACTGTGATCATGGCCGAGAAGGGAAGCAAACATGGATTCAGAGGGCCAGGACCCCTGGCTCCCTTGTGTCCGTCCAGGCCTCAGCTCAGTGACACCCAGATCACTTGGGGGTTTTAGCAAACATATGGGTTCTGGGCCCTACCCTGGTAGCAGTGGTTCAGGAGCTAGGGGAGGGACCAGGGATTCCCTAGTGATTCTGGGTTCAAGGTCAGGATCCTGGCTCAGACAAGTCTCTGAAGGAAGGAACAGAGACTGACTTCCCTCAGTCTGGCAACGGACCCCTATGGGCACCAGAAAGGGGCTGAGTCTTGGGGGTGGCAGTGTGTCTCCAAAGGGAAGAACGAATGTAGAAACAGAAGTCACAGAGGTAGCAGCCCATTAAGCTCTGTCACCTTGAACCGGCCCGCCCACCTCTCCTCTCCCCCAGCCTGCTTGTGTGAAATATCCCAGATTGGACAACTGACTATGGGTTCTTCTACTGAGATGAGACCACCGAGGCTGAAAGAAGCTAGATACCGATCTCTTTTCTCCTGCAGCCATTTTCACATTAAACACGAATGAGATGCAAGAGCGCTACTCAATACACGGGAAACCCGATGTGAGAAGACGGTGGGCCCGGGACCCCAGCCATGAGACAAACACTCGGAGTCTAGGCTGGTTCGCCTTTTATTTACCCCCACTGGGGAGGGTCGAGGGAATGGGAACTCAGTGTTACTTCTCTTTCTTATTACCACTCGATTCCTGCCAACACCAAGTGGCCAACATAGGCCGACTCCATCCACTACGTTCACCCGATAGGCAGGTATTTAGGGTCAAGGTGGCCTGGTGTGGTCCACCAGAGCCCTGAGCTAATATCTGTCTGAAAATACTTGACAAAGAGCCTGCATGTCTCCTGTCTCACTGAGTGCACGCAAAGGTGGGGTGGCTTGATCCTTTTCTAGCTGTGTGACCTTGGGCAGATTACTTGACTCCTCTGAGCCTGTTTCCTTACCTGCGAAATGAAGGTAGTGAAAGCTCCCTCTAACGACTGTGGCATCACGAGGCAGCACTGAGAAGCACACAGAGCCTCACACAGCCCCTAGCTCGGAGCGGGGGCCGGCTGGGTGGAAGCTCGCCTTTCAGAATCGGCGATTCCAAAGACCCCAGTGGCCCAGTTTTGGCTTTTGCTGGATCGAGAGACTCTACTGTTTTTCTGCCAAGTTCTGCCAGCCAAACCCAACAGACGTCTTCCCGCTGGCCTGGTTTCCTATGTTTGCTCCCCAACGGGCTGGGGCTGGAGCTGCCCGGTGCTGTGGGAAAGCGCATCCGAGGGGAGCCCTGGCAGGGAGGCGCGCGGGAGGCTGAGGCCGTGCCGTGTAAACACTGCACTTAGCCGATGATGAAGTGTGTAAGCACCCCTCGGGTCCACAACTTACTCTACCTGCAAAAACATTCATTTCCTTCTGAAATGTTTTGGTTGCTATAGTCCAGGATGGTGCCAGAAACCCTCTCAATCAAAACATTTAGCTCAGGAGCCCCGGGCAGACACAGGATGCGCGGCTTTCTCAAGAGGACCACGGAAGAGCAACCACAGAGGCCGGGAGAAGCTGGCAGTACCAACTCGGTCCTCGAGGGCTTCCTCCTGCCTCGGCTACAGCGCTGGGTCCAGTCCAGGTAAACTTGGACGAGGGGACAGTGACAGAGCCAAGGGAACACTTCAGGCCAAATTAATTCCAGAGTCCATAAAGTACAAAGGTTGTGATGGTTCTTTAAATGGAAAACTTTTCTCTGCATCCTGAAATGTGTAACTCACGTTTTAGGTAATGTGAACTTAGAGAGAAGCCTGAAGAGGGGTCCTCACACTAAAGCTTTGCTTTGGATCCATTCCTGGGGAATAATTTAAAAGCTCCGGTCTGGGGTGGCAGAGGCCCCCGCTGAGTCCTGGCTTGGCCAGGGGGGCTGAGCGTTCCGGAGCAAGGGGTTTACGTCCAGGGAGCTTCCTTTTCCTCATCTATATAAAGAAACAACAAAGCCCCGCTTCGTGGGTTGGGTGGAACAGTGGCTGTCAAACTGACATGTGACCCTCATTACAGTGGCACGTCTCCCACCAGACTGTCCTGTCACACAGCAAGGGCTCTCTAACCCTTTGTTAAATGAAAGGACACCTGCAAGTGCAGTCCACCCATCACAGGCCGTCAGAGCCGAAGGGACCTCGGAATCACTTACTCCTCACTCTATACACCCAGAACCAGAGGCCTTGTAAGTGTAACCACCTGCGTGGGTCGCTGTAGGTGAACTAGTGATGGACGATGGAGTTGGATTCGAAACAGGGGCTCCTGGATCAGAGGTGATGATGCTAACCACAGTAAGAGTAACCGCTAAGGTTTACTGAGAACATATTATGTGGCAGGACTTGCTCTCAGGGATTCACTCAGAGTAATTTCCAGAATCCTTGTAAAGACCCATTTTATGGATGACGCAACTGAGACTCAGGGAGGTTAAGCCGCTTGCCCCAAGTCACACAGCTGATCATCTGCAGAGATGGGGTCGGAACCCAGGGGTTTGGCTCCAGTGTCCATGGTCTTAACTGCTTTGCTGCTTCGTATCACGGCATAGCACTGAAGGACTGAATTTGGAATCCCACAGTTCAAAGCTGCCTTGATCGAGCTGTGGAAATTCCAGCTAAAAGCAATTTTTATTAATCTTAGGAAAATTAAGAGGCAAAGGGGCGGAGACGTGTGCCGCCCTCCTCTCGGATGCCAGCACGTCAGGTGAGACCCCAGCGATTACGCAGACTCAGAGCGGGTCGTTAGGTTATTACCCCTCACCCCCCGCCAATAACTGTTTTGCAGTCTGGGAGGACACATCCAGGAGAGGACCAAAACTCCAATTTTCCTGTGCAATTTTGCCAGCCTCCGGCTTCGGATCGCCACCCATCCCCCAGCGGTCCTCCCACCAGTCTCACCAGCCCTTCAGGTGATGGGCTATCCCACCTCCGCCTCTCCACCAAGCGGGCATCACGCTGACCACCGGGCACCAATGCACAACCAGCGAAGCTCTCCCTCTGACTTTTAGTTCCATCTCCAAACCGCTACAAGCACTCCCCACTGAGACAGCAGTACTGTTTCAAACATTATCCCCCAAAGGGACGCTCTAAAGCCAAAGAAGAAAACGGCTGTAACACAGAGGTACAAACGCAAGGTGACGGAGTCCCCGCGGGGCCGGGCTACCCACCACATCCGGCGCCTTCTGGATCTGCGAGGCCAGCTGGAGAGAGTGGTTGGCCGACGAGAGCTGCTCCCTCAAGGTCTCCGCCTCTCTCTGAGCCACCTCTGCCCTCTGAAGGAAATGAAAAGGGTGGAAAGAGAAAGCACATCCAGTTTAACAACTGACAATTATTACAAGAACATTCATCAATTCATGCCTGACTGACTATAATTGATTTTCCTAAACACTCAACCTAATAAATGCTAGAAAAAAACACAGAATGTGATGGATTTTTATTTTAAACAGTACAAGGAAGAAATAATTGAGCGATTATGACAGTAATTTAACGCTAGGAGCAAGGAATCCCCTGCTGATACTAGCGCTCCGGCCCACTGAATTTCCCAGACTGAACAAATACAAGTGGAAATGGAGTCTTTTGATTCAATTTCTTTCTATTCTCATAGACCAAGAAGATTTTATTGCAGGATTACTCCTGGGAGTAATTCTCACGGGTAAACAGTGAATTAAAGACACTCTGGCCATTCTCCTCCTAAAAACATGCACAATGTTGTGGTTGTTTTCCCCCAGCAAAGTATTTCCATAAACGTACGGTGTGTAAATGCCACTTCTTTTGTGAGGAACAGGCTCATTTCAACACATTTAACCCTTCGCTCAACAAAGTTTTCTAATGCTGAGGTGGGCATTTCCAGCCAGCCAGGCCAATGTGGGGCCCCCGGGGGGTGGGGACCAACAGAGCCGCCCGCCCGTGGGAAGGAGTCTGCATGAGAAAGGAGTGGGTGCTGCTGTCACTTGCTGTAATTCTCGGACAAGGAAACCAGTGCCGCTGGATGGCAAACCAGGATTTCCCACTGGACGTCGAGAATCGTCACTCCGGTGCCGCTGCCTGAGAGGGACCGTGGTGCACTGGGTAGGAGCTGGGCACCTGGGACCAGGGGGACCAGGGCAAGTTACCCAACTAAGCTCACTAAGCTTCCACTTTCCCATCTGTAAGATGGGAACACTGTCTCCCTCTCAGGGACCTTGTGAGGATTAACACCAAGAAGGGCCCTTGTTCAGAAATGTCTTATTCGTGAGCTGGTCCTGACTTTACAAATTATGATTGAGAAGAAACTCAAAAGATGGGTAGGAAGCAGTAGTGAATTGATGCTGGGCAGGAGGACTGAGGAGTGATTGCTGCTCCTTTCCACCGGACTTAGGTTCTGCTCCTAGCAAAGATGAACGAGAAAGGCCTGGCTGAGTCTTAAGCGATTCTGTGACGGTAGTGAGGATCTATCTGCTCTGCATACAGACAAATCAGGGTATTTCTAACAGCAGCTACCCCGGCCCAGGAGGGTGCTGGTGGCCGTCTGCCCTGCTTCTCCAGGAGCTCTGGGAATTGCACTCCATCTAATTCACACAGTGCCCGGCTAGGCCTGTCTGTGCCCAAGCAGCCGCCTCCCACCCTCTCAGCTGCAAACAGTTGAGAGGCCTGTCTGTCAGGAAAGGTGGTGATGTCCCCGGCACGGCGGAGATGACAGGGGTGATTTCTGGCTCATGCTAACTGCAGGAGAGTCTCCCCTTCAGCGAGAAAGATTTCCCCCAGTTTATTCCCAGATGAGCCACTGCACATTTTTCTGATAATCAAGTCATGTTACTGAAAAGTTTACCGTTCCCTTTCTAGCCAGCAACACTTTGAGACATGAAATCTCCATGGCTCTGCCAGGAATAAGGTGGCATCTTTCTAATCTCTCCGACTAGGAAAAATATGTCTTAGCCTGGTGGAGAAGCAGTCTGGTGGCAGCCGATGGGGCAGCACCCCTCCCCCGCCCCATCCTGCCTGCTGACTCTGGTGGTAAAGTGTTCCAGAAGCCCCTGGACTGGGGCAGGCTGGGCAGGGGGGTCACGGCCAGGACCTCGGAGCTCTTGGGAGCTGAACGCTGTCTCCTCAAAGGCCGATGGCTCACAGAACAAGGGCCTGAGCTGTTGACGATTCCATCCTCAGTCTGCATAATTCCTCAGGAGCTTCTGCACTTTCTTGTTTTCAGGTTCACGGACAGTCATTCTGTGGCCTACCCATGCTGGTCACAGCCTTCGATCACATTTGGCTTGACTGGGCTACTTCACTGCAACGTCTAGATTGCTCAGGATTTTTATTGTTTATTTAGGCTTTTGAAGCTGAGTACAGTAAAACCAAAACAAAACGAGTTGAAGTGGTTTGTGCTGCTAAACATGCACAAGCAGAACAATTGAAAACAAAAACAGGCCTGAGAGCCGGTGAAGGAGGGAGCGGGGACTGGACGCCGTAGCTGCTGGGGTGACTTCGTCTCTGTGGTTGTAAACGGAGCCCCACTGTCGGCAGCTGAAGTGGAAAAAGCAGTGCGGTGCTGGGTTGACTCCACAGTATCACTTGTTTCTGGGTCTCCCATCTTCCTAAGGACCCCAGTCCAACCGGAAGAAGTGTTTCTAGAACTAGAATCAACGATGGGAAGGGGAAGCTCCAACGCTGGTGTCTGATCTGGACCCTCAGACACGGAGCCGTGGCTGCCTTGAGACACCTCGCTTCTATCGATGCCTGCACTCCCTCCCCCATCCCTGCAGAGGCAGAGTCTGGGGACCCAGGCCAGGGTTCCGGCGGGCGGCCGGCAGCATCCCGGGTGCGGCTCAGTGGCCAT